CGGTTTCCTCAGGTATCCGACCCTGCGGCTCTCGAAGAGGCTCGGTGACGGCAAGTCCTCGGCGGTGAGCTTCGATGCGCTGGGCCCGGGACAGCAGGCGCAGCTCGACGATGCAATGGTGAGGGGGTTCAATCAGGCGACGACCCCCGGAGTCTTGAAACAGGGTTCAATCCGAAGAGTTGGAGGGCATCAACGGGAAATCAGATCATGAAGATGCGTTGGGTTCTAACGTGTAAGTACCAGGAACGCGGCCCAGGAAATGCGAGGCCCCCCAGTCATCCTGGGGCGCCATCATCCTCAGCTCACGGATTTGGCTAATGCTTTGGCGCCTACGTTGGGAAAGCTGGCTTAGAATCTCCCGTTTCATACGCGTGCCTTTTTTCGCTTCAAGCTTGATAGTTGCGACGGTTGCGACTGTTCGCCGGCATTTCCGCAGGCCGACGAGGAGTCACATGTCAGTGACTTTTTTCGTGAAGGCTCTGGTGGAGCTGGCCAACTGTTTCATGGGCGAGCTGGGCAGACCATCCGCTATTCCACGTCTGGTCAAGTGATTTTACGGTTTCACTGCGTGGGGGAAGGATATTTCGGCCATGTTGAGCAAGCTGGGATGGCGCCAGCTTTGCGCCGACCAGTGTCTATGGATTTTGTTGGACACCGACGGCGTCCGACGGGGCATCATCGGCGCACGCGTGGGCGATTGTATTTTCGCAGGTGACCACAGTGGGTTGTTCCTCAAGGCCCGAGAGGAGATTCTACAGTTGTCTCGTTGGGGTGCGTGGTCATCGGGGCAGGCCGAGTTCAGTGGGATTTGAGTCTGGCAGTCGCAAGCGGACACCACAGGATCAGTTGAGTCCGCATGAGGTTTCTCATATGAGAGGCGTTTTAGGAGGCACCGCGAGTTGGAGGGCCCAGAAGGGTTCGCCACAGTGCGCAGTCGACGTGGGCCTCCCACTTTGAAAGGTTACCCGTGCGACAACCCACGACGCGCAGGAAAATTGACCAGCTTGTGAGAGACATGCGGAAGACAGCCTTTCAGTCGATTCGCTTCCGTGCTTTTGATTTTGCCTGGAGTTGGACGGCCCAATGGGCAGACGCGAGTGATCAGCTTCGACCTGGCGGTTCCACGACGCGGGGTCTAGTTGCAGGTCTAGCGGCCCCATCTTTCGGCGACGGAGAGATGGCGCCAATTTCTAATTTATTTTAGCCTGGATATCTTCAGTTCCCCGGGGAGATTTAGGGTCCTACAGTGGAGACCGAAGCTATTGCTTTTGGAGATGGGAGTTTGTGGCTCGCCCGACTCATGTGGCGATCCCAAAGTGGCGCATGTATGCAGCGGTGCGCCGAGTGCCGGGCATGCTCATTGCAGATTCGAATGGGATTTTCGTTGCCAAAAATCGCTTGGAGTCTCCACAAGTAGGACTTCGCAGTTCGCGCAGAAGCGGGGGTCTCGTGCCTTCAATGGGCAGATCACTCGCAGCGACATTTTATTTCACTGGGCCGCATACCTCGGCGATGCGCGCCGGCAGCGTGGCCGAGCCAGGATGCCCAGCGTGGCATGTCATTGCACAAGACGGAATGTAAGTGGCAGGCGCCGGCGGCATGCTGGGCGCTGTGCGTTTTCAGACGAGGATCCGGCAGAGCCTGAGCAGGCATCCGATACGTTGGTGGAGGATGATGTCCTTTTCAGAGGGTGTTCGGAGGATTTTGCCGGATAGGCACTTGAGCGCCGCGAGCCGAAAGCAAGAAGAAGAAACAACAAAGTATGACCTCTGTTTCGCTATTGCCAGTCATCTCGCAGCCCTCCAGCATTTACCTCCGTGGTCGTTCCAGGTTTGCTCCATATCCACAACCATGTCCCCCAACTCTTACAGGGAGGGATGCCATTATCATGTAGACTCTGCGGCATCAGGAGCCGCCGCGAGACGACGGCGGCCGGAGCCGTCTTGCAAAAGGATTGTGAGATATCGAGTAGTTTGGATACTCTGTCTTGAAAGTCGTTTGCGCAGAAGCTCTCGCTCTCCGCATGAAGTGAGAGAATAAATCGGTTTCGCTAACACCAGGAACCCCCGTGAGGCCCCCGAGAGGCTTTCCGAGAGGGCCGAAGAGGTCCCCTTCGGGGCCCCAAGAGGCCCTATGAGGCCACCGGAAAGCCCCCAGGACGCCCCACAAGGCCCCCAAGAGCCCTCCCCCCCCCAGACGCCCCGACGCATTCCTGACGATCCTCGACGCCGTCGCCGCCGCTGCTGGCAGTCGTTTCGGCTGAAGCGCCGCAGGGGAATTCCATGACGCGGGCTTTCACATTGAGGTCCCCTCAGATTTCAAATTGAGGAAGCCTCGGGAGTTCCCGATAGCGCCCACAAGGCCCCCGAGATGCTCCCCAATAGTTGCGCGCGTCAGCTTGTCAAGGGCTGGGTCACGATAGAACCTGAGCGCGCGCGGAGTGCGCGCGAAGCGCTAAAGTATGATTTGTTGTCGGATGTCTTGATTCGGCTTATTGATTTGCCGATTTGCTTTAACAGTTTGTCGAGGTGCACATGTTGTTTGTCGTGTTTATTGTACCATTTGTCTTCTCATTCGTTGTGCGGTGCCGAGGCCGCGAATCCTGTACCGAGAGTTCCGCCGCGTTGTTTGGTTTAAAGATGGAAAGACCAGTAGCAGCAACCGACGCGCAATATTAACGTGATCATTCTAAATTTAATTCAGCCGAAGAAACAGGGGAGGTAGTGGTTCTGGTGTAGTTTTGCTGTCCCATCCATATTGAGATGTTGGGTCCTCGTTTTGAAGATACTGCGCCCCGCGTCTCCTCCTTTCTTCTACTCTCCTCTGCTCTCCTCTCCTCTCCTCTGCTCCTCATTTCTCCCATTCCTGCTTCTGCTCTTCGAGTGCCATCATCATCATCATCATCATCATCATCATCATCATCATCATCATCATCATCATCATCATCATCATCATCATTACCGCCACCATCATCATCACCGTCATCATCATCATCATCATCAGCATCACCGTCATCATCGTCAGTATCGTCATGCGCAAACTCATCATCAGCAGCATCATCCCCGTCATCAACATCATCATCATCATCAGCATCATCATCATTATCATCATCATCATCATCATCATCATCATCATCATCATCATCATCATCATCATCATCATCATCATCATCATCATCATCATCATCATCATCATCATCGCGATCGTCATTGTCATCGTCAGCGTGACCTCCGTTTCGGCACACCATTCACACGTTTCGTGACCCCAAAGGGAGTTCCACCGAAGGCCCCAGTGGGGGTGCCCGCATGCGTCCGCCACACCCGGCACAGCTCTTCGTGGACACAAAAGGAGCTCCACCGAAAGCCCCAGTGGGGGTGCCCGCATGCGTCCGCCACACCCAGCACGGCGCTTCGTGGCCCAATAGGGAGCTCCGCCGAAGGCCCCACTGGGGGTGCCCGCATACTCCCGCCATTCGCAGTACAGCGCTTCGTGGCCTCATACGGGGCTCCGCCGAAGGTCTCAGTGGGGGTGCCAGCATGTGTCCGCCACACCCAGTACAGCTTTCGTGACCACAACAGGAGCTCCACCGAAAGCCCCAGTGTGGGTGCCCGAATGCGTCCGCCACACCCGGTACAGCGCTTCGTGGCCCCATAGGGAGCTCCACCGAATGCCCCAGTGGGGGTGCCCGCATGCGTCCGCCACACCCAATGCAGCGCTTCGTGACCCCAGAGGGATCTCCACCGAAGGCCCCAGTTGGGGTGCCCGCGTGTGTCCGCCACACGCGGTACAGCGCTTCGTAGCCACATGGGGAGCTCCACCGAAGGCCCCAGTGGGGGTGGGCACATGCGTCTGGCACGCCCATTTCGGCGCAGCTTTCACACGCGTCGTGGCCCTATAGGGACCCCACCTAAGGCCCCAGCGGGCGCGGCCACATGCGTCCGCCCGGCCCACTTCGGCACACCATTCACACGTTTCGCGCCCCCATAGGGCGCTCCACCCCAGGTCCCAGTGGCGACGTTCGCATGCGTCCGACCGACTCACGTCGGCACACCCCGCACACGTTTCGTAGCTCCATAGGGGGCTCCACCGAAGGCCCCAGCGGCTACATTCGCATGCGCCCCCCCCCCCCCGCGGCACATGTCGGCACACCCCTCACACGCTTCGTGGCCCATGGGAAGCTCCACCGAAACTTCGCACACGTCCCACCCATTCGTCCCCCGCCCTGCCCGCACTGCCCCGCGCCTCGTTTCTCCTGCTGCGCGCTGCCTATGAGAGCAGAGGGTGTACCGCGTGCGCTATTCAGGATTTGCGTGCCTCCCTCTTTCGTCGCATCTCGTTCGCGGTTCTTGCAGCTGCGAATGGTTGGGTCTTTCGTCAGGCTCAGTGTCTTACATTGTTTGGTGTGTTGCATGTTGTGGTTCACATGCATAATATGACAACACTCTGTAGTAGCATTGAAGTGGTATCGGTAACACGAGCAAGCGGGTCTTGGTTGTTCCCATGTGTTGGTGGAGCCTACGAGTGCAACGTGAATTATATGTGTGTTAGTTCTTCACTCTGCACATCTAGCCATAACACGCCTCCCGTGCATTCGTGCAAATATCAAGCCTCACCAATAATCTAAACAGAAACGCGCACACAGAGACAATTTTCTGTAGTTGCATCGCATACCTAGTACATGCAGAAGTTTGAAGGTAGTTCATACAATTCGAGAAACACGTAGTCGTAGCATGAGGAAATTGTTGGTCGTGTAAGGCTCGCGTTTGTATGTTATGTTTGGAAGTAGTTCCGTGCGTAATGTTGTTCAAGCTCTCTCTTGGTAGCTCCACCATGTAGCTGTTCTCTACATTAGTATCACGTTTCTAGTATGTTGCAGGATCAGAAACGCGCGGTTTTAGAAATGAATCGCAGCATAAACGAGTAATGTGTACGCTTAGATTGGTGCAGGTCCCTGGCGGGGGCCGCGATCCCCAGGGCGACTGAGTCCAGGCCCACACCAGAGGGCAAGGCCAGCGACGAGAGTCTAAGCCAGTGGAAGGATGGGCTCTGCGACTGCTTCGACGAGCCCGAGATCTGCTTCTGGGCGTGCTGCTGCCCGGCGATCCGGTGGGCCGACACGGTCGACCTCGGCGGCCTCGTGCCCTTCTGGGTGGCTCTCGCCATCTACCTCGGCCTCAGCGTCGGGAGCGCGTTCCTTGGCGAGGCGCTGCTGTGGGCCGCGCTGGCGGTGGCGTGCGCGGGCTTCCGCCAGGAGATGCGCCGGAAGTTCGGTATGAGCCAGAGCGGCCGTACCTATGCGGAGGACTGCCTCCTCTACTGCTGCTGCTCGTGCTGCGCGATCGCGCAGGAGGCTCGCCATATCGAGGAGGCCTGCAGGGTGGGCCACCCCGTGGTGGCGGCAGACGGGGGCGCGGTAAACATCAGAAGGGAGGGGTAATTGGCCGCCCATGTTCACTCAGGGCGGAGGTTCCCCCACCGACCCAGGCCTAGCCGGCCGCATGGGGGAGAGCACGGAGGACAGTTAGCACGCGGAAGAGCTTCGTAGACAGGTGTGAGGCAGCCACGTAAAGGACCCGGCGAGGCGCAGTTGATGAGCATCTTCTCATGGCGTGATCTCACCCAGGCAAGCATACACGTCATACACGTCTCTGTACAGCGCTTGCTGCTGGCGAGGGCGAGGTTCGAATGCCACATGAAAACAGAAAACAAAGGGCCTGCCTCGTGCTCATCCTCCGAGTCAGCCTCCGCCCTAAATACATGCAGCTGCCTGGAAGGCTCGGAGAACCTGCTGCGCCTCAGCGTTATGGTCCATCCTCTCCCGTTCGTCCGTATCCTCTTCCTCTTTGCCTTCCGTTTTCTCCCGCTGCCTTCTAACCGTGAAGGGTTTTTAGTTTTGGGCCCCCCCCTGTTTCTCTCGGCGGGGAACCATTTCGACTCTTCTACTCCTTGTCGTCGTCGTCCTCCTCCTCCAACTCCCCCGTCCTCCTCCAACTCCCAGCACGCTGTGCTTAACAAAGAGTCCAAAACAGTCCTCCTCCAACTCCCCCCTCCTCCTGCTCATCCTTCTCCTCGTCCTCCTCCTGCTCCTCCTCGCGATCGTTATCGTATTCGTCGTCGTCGTCGTCATCGTGGCGGAAAGTATGTTCCCTCCATTGTTGGGCGGCTTGGGTAATGTTGGGTAATGTTGGGGAGTTCTTTCTCCCATGGAACGATCCACTGTGGGCTAAACTACACGACAGAGTATGTATGATAATGATCTCATGGTGAGTCCAATATGAATCAGTGGTTGTGGTTGGAGTCGTGATTGTAGTGTTTATTTTGTAATCGCGGTTGTAGTCGTGAATGTAGTCGCGATTGTAGTCCTATTCGTAGTCGTGGTTGTAGTCGCAACCGTAGTCGTAATCGTAGTCGTCGTCGTCGTTGTCGTCGTCGTCGTGGTGGAAGTGGTGTTCTCTCTGCTGTTGGGCGGGTTGGATCATGTGGGGGGGCTTCTTCCTCCCAGGGCACAATCCAGTGTGGGCTGCCCTGTACGCGAGAGGATGTGTGAGCATGTTCTCATGGGGGTTACAATGGAACCGGCGGTTGAATCGCGATCGTGGTTGTAGTCGCGATCGTAGTCGTATTCGTAGTCGCGGTTGCAGTCGTAATCGTTGTCGTAATCGTAATCGCGGTCGTCGTCCTTGTTGCGTGGCGGGTGCCGCGGAGAAATAATTATTTGTCCGCCGTTGGTGGGACGCCATTCCGTCAGTAGGGGCGTCCAAGTTATCATTAGGTTCCGCTGTTGGGGGGGGGTCCAAAGACCCATCTCGATTACCATCTGCATCCTGATCCCATTCCCCTTCATTCGAGTCGATCAACCATACTTGCAACTTACATCACCAGTGTATGTTTCTCCGCTTTCCCTTCTTACTCGTATTCTATGTTCTTGAGCGTCCTCCCTATTCCTCCGTCATCCTCGGTCCTCCGTATTCCTCCGTCATCCTTTTCGTGGCCCGAATTTGTTTCTCGCGAGGTAGACTCACTGAACTGAACTGAACAGATTGGTCGCACCCACTACGCGACGGATTTTATGGTCGGCCGCCAAGGGCGCAACCTACGGCGCAACCAGTAGGAGACGGTTTCATTCTCGGCCGCCGTGTGCGCAAACTATGGCGCAACCGATAGGAAACGGTTTTGTTCTCGGCCGTCGAGGGCGCAACCTACGGCGTAACCAGTAGGAGACGGTTTTATTCTCCGCCGCCGAGGGCGCAAACTATGGCGCAACCGATAGGAGACGGTTGTATTCTCGGCCGCCGAGGGCGCAACCTAGGGCGCAACCCGTAGGAGACGGTTTTATTCTCGGACGCCGAGGGTGCAACCTATGGCGCAACCAATAGGGGACGGTTGCATTCTCGGCCGCCGAGTGCGCAATTTAAGGTGCAGCCAATAGAAACTTGTTTTGTTTCTCGGCCGCCGAGGGCGCAACCCATGGCGCAACCGACGGGAGACGGATTTATTCTCGGGCGCCGAGGGAGCAACCTATGGCGCAACCAATAGGAGACGGTTTTTTTCTCGGACGCCGAGTGAGCAACTTCCTATGGCGCAACCGATAGGAGACAGTTTCATTCTCGGCCGCCGAGGGCGCAACCTACGGCGCAACCGATAGGAGACGGTTTCATTCTCGGCCGCCGAGGACGCAACCTAAGGCGCAACCGATAGGAGACGGTTTTATTCTCGGGCGCCGACGGAGCAACCTAGGGCGCAACCAATAGGAGTCCTCTTTATTCTCGGCCGCCGAGGGCGCAACCTATTGCGCAACCAGTAGGAGACGGTTTTGTTCTCGGCCGCCGAGGACGCAACCTAAGGCGCAACCGATAGGAGACGGTTTTATTCTCGGCCTCCGAGGGCGCAAACCGATAGGAGGGCCACCGAGGGCGCAACCTAGGTTGCAACCGATAGGAGACGGTTTCACTCTCGGCCGCCGAGGGCGCAACCTACGACGCAACCGGTAGAAGACGGTTTAATTCTCGGCCATCGAGGGCGCAACCAATGGCGCAACTATTTTATTGCGAAGGCCTCACGGCCGACGCCGCCGACCCTGTAGGCAGCGACGACGCAGACAATGGAGGTAGAGGAGTCCAAGATGACCTCAAGTGGCTCGAAGACGGCGCGAGATGCCTGCAAGGTCGTCCGAAGACAGCTCAAGAGGCCTCCTCCAGGGTTCGGGAACGGCTCCAGAGAGTGCCAAGATAGGCAAAGAGCGCCCTCAAGTGGCCCGAGAGGGTTCCAAGACGGCGCCAAGCGAGGTCCAAAAGCGCCCGCAGAGGCTGTCAAGAGTGCCGCCAGAGGCTGCCAATAGAGTCTAAAAATGGCGAAAGGTCTCCAAGGAGCCTTAAGATAGGCTGAAAGGGCCCGCAGACGGCCCCGAGAGCCAATGGAGCCCCAGGACGCAGGAGGATGAGAGGCGGGGGGCTGCGCATCCGAGGGGGGACCCCCCCGGGAGTTGCCCCGGGACCCCCCCCCCGGCGGGGAAGGGATCAAGGGAAGGGGCTTCCTTTCGACTGAAGGACGACGTTGTTCAATTTGTGCGTGGACTTGTGTAGGGAGCCCTCGGAAAGCAGAAGAGGCGACGACGCTGTGGGGAAGACGGAAAAGCCTCTCCCACACGCCGACAGGGTCGGCGGATTTCAAGGCTGCCGCCTCTGCCGCCGAGCCCAGAGAAAAACGATGGAGGATGCGCAGGAGGATGAAGAGGAGAAACTAGGACGAGGTCCTAGACGAGGACGGCGAGGAGGAGCTGGAGCAGGAAGAAGACGAGGAAGACCAGGAGGATGAGGAGGAGGTCGGGGAGGAGGAGGAGGAGGAGGAGGAGGAGGAGGAGGAGGAGGACGATCAAGATGGGGAGGAGGAAGGGGAGAAATACGAGCAGTGCGAGGGCGAAGTGGGGGCATTCGAATGCGTGCGAGGCTGCGCCCGATGTGTGCTCGCCGTCTTGGCCGGCGGTGGGGCCCAGGCGCCGCGAGCTGTCTTGTGATTACCCCGCCTGTTTTCCTCCTTCTCCGCCCTCCATTGCGAGCGTCGTCGCCGTGGCTCGCTTTTTCGACCCCTTCCGAAGCCTTCACGATCACCGTCGGGGCCCAGCCGAGCTGCCTCTCGGGCGAGAGCGGCAGGGGCGGCAGTAAAGCGACAGAGCGACTCGCATTCCGACGCTGTGCCTCGCTTCTCCCGTTCACCTTCCAGACTATCTCTTCACTATCGTCACCAGTCCGCTCGGCGGAGGTGCGTCCGGGGGGGGTTCGCGAAGCGAGCCCCCCCCCCGCGGACGCGACCTTGGATGTCTCCCCTTATGAAGGGGGCCACACGGGGGTAGACCCCCTCGTCTACCCGCCTCATCCCCTCTGCCCCGCTTCTCTCAGACTTTTTCTTTAAGAGGGCGCAAATGTGCGAATGTGGTCATGCGCTGGCCGGGCTAAAGGCGGGGTGCACCGAAAGCTGATTTGGGCACGACGGAGGAGCGCAGCAGGCCGCTTGTCCCATACAGTCAAGGCGTTGAGATAAGGATCAGTTTGGGCTCAGGAGGGGCTCTGGTGTTGGGCAGTCCTTTATATTTTCGGGCAGACATAACTATGTTCGGCGACAGACATAAGTACGTGGTGCATCCACTATGGAGTCGGTGTCCTAATCGAAGCGTGGGGGGGAAGCCTTCTATCGACCACGGGCCCGATGCCATGTCCCCCAGAGCCGATGATGCCGCACGGCGGGGCCCGCCCAGCCCTGTGCCCAGCACCGCCTGTCACTGGGGGATGTGGCGCGACCAAAGGCCCTGGCGCGGAGGAGGAGGAGGAGGAGGAGGAGGAGGCGGAGGAGGAGGAGGAGGAGGAGGAGGAGGAGGAGGCGGAGGAGGAGGAGGAGGGCGAGCACAGGGAGGGGGAGGGGGGAGAGGGGCCCGCCAGCGTCTGCCGCGGCCCCAGGTGGTGGAGGCACTGGGCAGCCGCCGGGCCGAGGCCGCGGGCCGCGGGGCACCCATCGTGCTCGGCCCCGTCGACGTGGCCGCCCCGCCGCCCGCGCACCGCGCCCTGGAGGCTCGGGAGCTCCGCGTCCTGGAGTCTCCGGAGGAGGTGTGGGAGCTCCTCTCCGGGAAGCGGGTGCTCCACGTCAAGGGCTTCGGCAGCGGCTTCGGGGACCCCCCCGAGGAGCGGATGCGGAAAAGATGCTGGGTACCCCTGCCCGTCCTGGGGAGCCCGTGTCACCACCACGGTTGGCCTCTCTGCAAAATTGCAGTCAGAGCGCGCCCCTGGAGAAGTCAGGGGACAGGCGGTATCGGTATGTTTTCGTCCCCCTCGAGGAGCAGATGGGTGTGCAGAAGCAGCAGAGCGATAGTGCCGTCCAGGCCATCAAGCGATTCTGCCCAGACTACCTTGTGGTCGACGGCGATCCCTGGGGCAGCGGTTTCCAACGGTACATTAAAGCTTATGCGCAAAAGCAAGCTTCCGACGGGCTGGAGGTGCCAGAGCTTCTGTGGGTGAAGAACGTGAGCGGGAGCTCACCCTCCCCTGAAGAGCGCAAGAAACGCTTGGGTCAAGCCCGCGAGTGGGCTGACCAGGGACTCCCCGTGGTTGTCTCGTGGCTGCCGGAGGCGACCATATCGGAAGGCGTGGACAGGCTGTTCGGGGAGGGTTGTTGGGAGAAGTTGCAGGTGCATAAATACGATTTCAGAGGTGCTGTGCGGCTGTTAGATGCTGCCGAGCCCGACAGGCCCGAGTGGCTCCGCGGGCTGACGGGCACCGCGCCTGGGCGCGAAATACACTTGGCCATCCAGGTCGTGGAGAGCAGGGCATCCATGCGGCACTTTGAGAAGTGCAGCTTCGAGAACGCCGCGAAAGGCAACGCGATCTACCAGCACCTTCGGGGTGAGGGCCGCGAGCCGGCTGCGCAGGGAGCTGTGAGCTTCGGGGGCGGCGAGAGCGTGCTGCTGGAGTTTGCGACCCTTTACCTCTTCCCTGGATCTGGCTTCGACGCAGGCCAGGCCGCGCTCTTGCCCTTCAGCCGCGGCCGGCTCAGTGATCCCGCTCTACCTGCGCACGAGGGACGCGCCTTCAAGTCGGAGGATCAGCTGCGCGTGGAGGAGGAGGCGAGGCAGGTGGTCCACGCTTACTACGCGGCAATCGACAAGCGCAAACTCGCCGAGATGCTGGCCTGCGTGTCCGACGACGTGACCGTGACTTTTCAAGAATCGCATCGGAACTGGAGCGGCAGGGAGGCCGCCGAGCAGAAGTTTGGGGCGTGGCTCTCCAGTGGGAGCATCACCGCAGAGGACCTGAGTCTGGGGGTGGCGGTCGAGAGGTGCCAGGCCTGCGGGAGCGCGCCCAAAGCGACAGCGGTGCGCGTCGAGCTGACGTGCGACTTCGGACAGGGCCCGCGCCGCATGGGCTATCAAGTGGTGCGGGGCAAGATCGTCAGTATCGACCACCTGCCAACGTGACCGGGCGCCAGTTTCCTTTGGCTCTCTTGAGCATTCTCCTCCTGCCCCTCAAACCCTTGACGTCGTGATCTCTTCGCAGCGGGAAGCCTGATGTCGCTGCCTGAGCGTGTTCGGACTACTGGAGGCACGCCATGGGCTGTGTGGTATAGTCGCACTCGTGTTTCTCCACCCCTTTCCTCGACCCCCCTTCTGAATGACTTCTCCCCGTCGCAACACCAGACGTGTCAGTAGTGCGGGCCGGGCGTTTCGCAGGAGATTACCTCACCGCTGATGGTCCAGAGGTTTGGGAGTTCCAGCAGCTATAAGAGTGGAAGGCGCGCTGTTTTCAAAGTGTGGCTATTGTTCCAGCTACGCGCACAATCGTTTTAATGCTTGCCAGAATTAGGATGATTGATGACGGATGGTACATCACATGGTTCTCACCTAAGCGCCGCGCACATTTCGTCTTGCGTCAACATTTCCCAACATGTACACCCGTGCTCAGTAGGCGGTGTTTCTCATGGGGCCCTCGCTTTGGCTTCAAGCACTGCGCGCGTGCACCTGAACACATCCAACAGTGAAATACTCCAGATTTCGTAATAAAAGGGAGGGGGTCTGGACCCTCCAAGACAAGCCATTTCAGACCCCCGCCGTGGGAGAACCCTCCAAAACATCGTCCCCAGACCCCCCCAGGCCCTCAAGGTTGCCTGGAAGAGACCCCCCCCCGAAATGAGACCCCCCTCCCTTTATTACGAAATCTGGAGTACTCAGGACAGCTCTTTCTCAACATGCGTTTTTGTCCCTCCGCATATTCCAGAACGCTCCCAACACTTGCAAGGATGGAGAGGAGCTCCTCTTCAACGTAGGACTTCTGCCCGCTCGAGCCTTCCATCAGGTGTGCAGCATGAAGAGCCATACGGTGCCACAGATACATGGACGGGGTGCGGCTCCTTTTCCGAACGGGGATCGTTATGGATGGATTATCCGTAAGGGCTTCGCCCCCTGCCGCCGGCCCCCTCTCTCGGAGAATGGGCCATGGAAGAGCTAAGTCATGAGGCTTTGGCGCTGTCGCGCAGCAGTATCGGAACTTCATGCGAGGCCGATTCGCAATCGGCAAAACCAACTGATCACAAGAGGGGTTACCACACAGGGCGATTGGTAAGACGTGTATGGTTTACGAGCTTGGTTACCACACCTTGGGATTAAAGGGCCGAGGGAGTACTCGCAGTTTGGGTTACCACGCCTTGCGATGGATGTCCGTGAGGGGTGGCACCGAATTTCAGAAATGTGGCAAATCCCTGTGTTTTTGGACCCTGACCCCGCGGATCTGCGTGAGGGGTGGCACCGAATTTCAGAAATGTGGCAAATCCCTGTGTTTTTGGACCCTGACCCCGCGGATCTGCGTGAGGGGTGGCACCGAATTTCAGAAATGTGGCAAATCCCCTGTGCTTTTGGACCCTGACCCCGCGGATGTGCGTGAGGGGTGGCACCGAATGTCAGAAATGTGGCAAATCCTTTGTGTTTTTGGACCCTGACCCCGCGGATCTGCGTGAGGGGTGGCACCGAATTTCAGAAATGTGGCAAATCCCCTGTGTTTTTGGACCCTGACCCCGCGGATCTGCGTGAGGGGTGGCACCGAATTTCAGAAATGTGGCAAATCCCTGTGTTTTTGGACCCTGACCCCGCGGATCTGCGTGAGGGGTGGCACCGAATTTCAGAAATGTGGCAAATCCCCTGTGTTTTTGGACCCTGACCCCGCGGATCTGCGTGAGGGGTGGCACCGAATTTCAGAAATGTGGCAAATCCCTTGTGTTTTTGGACCCTGACCCCGCGGATCTGCGTGAGGGGTGGCACCGAATTTCAGAAATGTGGCAAATCCCTTGTGTTTTTGGACCCTGACCCCGCGGATCTGCGTGAGGGGTGGCACCGAATTTCAGAAATGTGGCAAATCCCTGTGTTTTTGGACCCTGACCCCGCGGATCTGCGTGAGGGGTGGCACCGAATTTCAGAAATGTGGCAAATCCCCTGTGTTTTTGGACCCTGACCCCGCGGATCTGCGTGAGGGGTGTCGATTTCGAGCCCCCCCAGCAATTCATACAAAGCGCCCAGGGGGTGCTAAAAAATCCTTTTTGGGCCTCCCCCCCTCGCGCGGTCAATCAACTAGTTACAGTAACCAGCAAGAAGCAGAACTGTAACACTGGAAACTACAAGCTACAACTGGTACTGGAAACTGCGAACCCGCGCCTACAGCCTGGTGGCCCCACAAGGGGGCCGGCGGATTTGAAGGTATTTGGGATGGATTATTTGATGGAAAAGTTGTTGGAATTTCGGACCTTGCCTGTTTAAATTAGTTGTTGAAGGAGCAGCAAACAATGATGTCTGACGCGTTCCTCATAGCTGGGCGGGTGCGCGGCGTTTCCCTTTCAAAACCGGGGCTATCGCCTGAAAGGCAGGCCCATAGGGGGCCTTCGGTCTTTCATCCAGAAGGGGGATTCTCCCATAGTTGGAAGTAGTGCTAGTAGCGAGTTCGCCGTAGTTGGAAGTAGCGAGTTCCCGTAGGGGATTTTTCCGTAGTTGGAAGTAGTCCCGTAGTAGGGGATGTTCCCGTAGTTGGAAAGGAGGGGAGGGGCGTGGAGCTGGAGGGTTCATTTAGTCGCTTCGCTCATTCCGTCGCCCCTGATTGTCGCACCTCTGTCGACTTGGGGGGGTATTCTTGAGGGGGTCGCAGTGACTGTGGATTTTGGTTTCGGGGGTTCGTCGCAGATTCTGGCGGGGTTGTCCTGGTGCAGTCGTGGGTGATCACGGGTCTGGTCGGTGATTTGTTTGTGTCGGTGAGGGGTTGATGATTCTGGATGGTCGCTGTGTGGCCATGTCGCAGATCGGAGGTATTCGTTGCAAGTTTGAGCCTTTCCGTTTTGGAGGGTGGCGGCTTGTGAATGCGACCGCAGGAAGAGGATGAGGAGGACGATGAGGAGAATGAGGAGGAGAAGGAGGAGGAGGAGGAGGAAAGGAGGAGGAGGAGGAGGAGGGATGAGGAGGAAGCGGAGGAGGAGGAGGAGGAGGAGGAGGAGGAGGAGGAGGAGGAGAGGAGGAGGGGGGAGTGGGCGGGTCTTTCAGGGCGGGTCCATGGCAGGGTCCACTTCGATCCATTTCGATACGATCTCCCTCCTCCTCCTCCTCTCCTCCTCCTCCTCCTCCTCCTCCTCCTCCTCCTCCTCATCCCTCCTCCTCCTCGTCCTCCTCCTCCCTCTCCCTCATCCCTCCTCCTCCGCATGCTCCTCCTCCTCCTCCTCCATCGTTCTTCATTCTCCTTGTCCTCCTCCCTCCTCGTTCTCCCCCCCTCCTCTCCTCCTCCCTAATCACTCCTCCTCCTCCTCCCGCCTTCTCCGCCTCCCGCACCGAAAAGGGAGCGGGCGGGTCTTGCAGGGAGGGGCGCCTGGCAGGTTCCATTTCGATCCGATTCGAGGTTCTAGGTGTTCGAGGCTTTTTAGGAGAGCCTCTTGATGCTCTCTTGGAGCTTCTTGGCGGCGTCTTGGGCCGTCTGGAGGCCATCTTGTGGGCGTCTTGGGACGATCTTGCGGGTCGGCAAACGGGAAAGTTTAATTCGAGTTCCCCCGATGGGGCCCCTCGTAGGGTTGTCTAGGGCTGTCCAGGGGGCCTCGTGGGCCGTTTTGGGGCCCTCTTGGGCCGTGTTGGGCCCATATTGGGAGTCTGTTGGGCCGTCTTTGGGCGATCTTGATGGTCTCTTGGGCAGTGTTGGACGTGCTGGACATCGAAACGTCGCTAATGCGCAACATGTACGTCTACCGAAGGGAATGGGACACCTTTTGCTTGTCGAGGCTCTCTAGGAGAGCCCCTTGAGGCTCTCTTGGGGTGTCTTGGCCGCGTCTTGGGCCGTCTTGCGGCGACCGAGGGCCCCTCGGACCGTCTCGAGCACGTCACGGGGCTCTCTTGGAGCGTTCCCGGGGCGCTCGGGAAAGCCTGGAAGGCAGCGCCGAGGAGGAAAACCATCTCTGGGTCTCACCTGGCCCGGATCTGCCTGGGTACGTTTCGTTCTGGGGCCCCCAGGGGCCGCACGCGGGCGAACTAGAAAACTGTACACCAATTACCGGGGTTCTTAGCACGCCTCTGGCCCGTTGGGCTGGCGAATTTAAGTATCGTTGTTGCGTTCAGGGTTTGCTCTGGTCCTCCTTCTCCTCCTCGTTTCTCTGCGGTGCGGCACCCGAATGGAGTCAGGACTCCGCGAGCGCCCCATTCCCTTCCCGCGCTCCCATTCCCTCCATCTCCCTCCCTCCACAAGTACACCATATGAGTATTATCCCTCCCCCGAGGACGTGATGAGAGTATCGCCCACCCCCTCCCTCTCCCTCAGCGTATTGCTTTCTACAGACAGGGGTTCTCACCACGTGACAAGGTTCATATGTTTTTATTTTCACCGTCCGAGCAGTCTTGGTCCTTTCGACATGGTGTTCCCGCTGCGGCATTGGCTCCATATCCGCGCTAACGGTCCTTCAAAACGGTGCTCCCGTTGCAGCATTGGCTTGGTCTCCTTGCGTTCGGCCCTTCTCAACGGCCTCATCCTGCGCTCGGAATCATTAAACGTAGTGTTCATGCGCGGCGCTGGCCTCGTTTCAGCTGTGTGGTCCTTCTCAGATGGGCGCCCGTTTCATCGCTGGCGCCATGCCCGCTATGCGATGCCGTCATGCGATGCCCAGCCTTGCTCTGCAATGCTGTGGTATGCATTTCTCGGCTACGCAATGCCATCATAAGCCTTATTATGTATCGCTACGCCATGGCATGCAATATTGTGATAGGGTATTCACCGTTCTGCAATGCCATGCCTTGCGATGCGATGCGCTGATCTGCAATGCTTTGCTACGCAGTGCCGCGACATGCCAGGCCAGGCTGGGCTCTGCCGTGGTGTCTCATGGGATGCCGTGCCACGCTGTGTTGTGCGGCATCTGACCTTGTAGGGTCAACACCTTCCTCGACACCCGACCATTCGACCAGAGAAGGGCTCT